GTCTACGACGTGCACACCTGCAAGTAGGGGCGCGCCGGGCTCGGTGCCGGCCCCACCCGGACGGGGCGGGGTCCTCTGATGGAGCCCGCGGGCGGCCGGAGTAGCCGGCGGTTCTTCCCGACAGGTTCGGAGCTCCTCCCGGATGGGGCGGGGCTGGGGGGTGGTGAGGCTTTTGGATGAGGGCGGGGTCTTCTCTGGGGACCCAGCTCCCTTGCTGGGAATTCCTCCCTGCCACCTCCTCCTAGCAGCCCGCTTGTAAGGTTCCATCCAACCCAACTCTTCTATGTAGAGCAGCTCTCCTGACAAACAGCGGCCGAGACCCTGTCCCCCAACCTCTTCCTCTGAAGTCGGGGACCAGGGGCCCTCCAAGTCTGGTGCTCTGGAAAGGCCTGACATCTGCCAGCGCTCCCAACCAATCCAACGGAGAGAGTCACGCCTTGCAGAGCCCCAAGAACCAGCTGGGCCTGGGGGAAGGAGGGGCCTGGAGGCTGGACCCTGAAACCTGTGTGAGGCATCAGACACCAGGCGCTCTTCCCAGGAACTGTTACTGCTGTCGCCCAAGCCCTGTGGAGCCCTTCCACCTCCCTTCCTCAGGTCTTTCACCTGCACCCCATCCACAGGAGAGGAGCATAGCCTCCTGTCCCAGCCCGACCCTGCCTCCCTTTTGGCCTCAGCACCTCCCCCACCTTCCTCATCCACAGCCCAGACCCCACATCTGCCCAGGACTGTTAGCCTGCACCACCCAGCTCCATCATCCTGCTGGGAAGCTCATTTGGGGTAGGCTTGGGTTGTTTGGGAGGTTTCAGTAGGAGGAGCCATACCTGGGGGCTGCGGAGGACCCTCAGCCCCCAGAGGAGTGGTATCCCCTTGCAGCCCTGGTAGTTAGGACTGATCCCCTGGGTCTCCTGCTGCAGCTGTGGTGTGCCAGACTTGCCACACTGGCCACTGTCCTGGAGCATGTGGCTGGCTGCTCAGCCAGCCTCACCTTCTGACTAATCCACCCAGCCCAGGAAGTACTGACTCTGGACCCCTCAGCCAATGCCCAGGCCAGGCCTCTTCTCACTCAGACTCTGCCACTGTGAAACATCCCCCAGTCCCTAGGCAGGGGGAGACCAGCCAGATAGGGGTGGCTGCCCGCCTCCGAGGACAAGACCTTCCTCTGCCTTGAATTTTGTGTTTTTGGTTTTAATTTTATTTCTGATGCTGCTATATTCACCATACACTGGAGCTAATCAAACAGATGTGTTGTTGTTTTTTCCCTTTTCTTTCTATGAAAGAAATTATTTGAGTCGTAGCTTGTGAGTTTCCAACAATGGGGAAGTAAAAGACAAAAAAAAAAAAAAAAAACACAAAAAGCAGAAACAACCAAACGCTGTGGATTGTGCTGGATTTCTGGTGGTGGGTTGGGGTAAGGCATGGAGGTTGGATTGGTGGTGACCTCTGGGACAGAAGACACCCATGGGCCAGGGGAGGAGGCAGTCAGCATGCACCTCAGAGACTCCTGGGGTCTTGGAGGTGACCTCCAGAGGCCAGAATTCCAGAAAAAAGAGGGACTGCCATGCCAAGGAAAAGAGGGCACAGCCATGGTGCTGAGGTCTGGGGCAGGCTAACTAAACCCAGGCAGACAGATCCAGTGAGGTGCAGGGGGAGGAGGAAGCCTGCCTGTTGCAGGGGTGGTGCAATGCAGTGAGCAGGGTGGAGGCCCCACGAGTCAGTGGAGCAGTGGGACATCCACCAAGTCAACCAAAGCCACTTCCCCAAACGTCCATGACATTCAGCTGACGTTTTAGTGCTGGCTATGTGGCCGCGCCCTCTGGGTTTGGGGACATGGCCTCCGTGTGGGGTTCCCATTGTGGCCCACCCCAGGATGTTCCAGGAGCCCAGCCTGTCTGGGAGGCAAGAGACAGTCCTTCAACCAGAGGTTTGCCCAGCTGAGGCCTAGAAGTTGCCCTTGTCCACCCTCACTGGGCCTATGCAGGCAGTGCTGGTTGGGGCCTCTAGAAACTGGAAGGGGGAAGGGGGCTTTCCCAAGGCCACACCTTTGCTTCTCCAAGCTGGGTGCAGGCTCCCTGCACCTCTCTCTGCCCTTCTGAGCCCACCCCCTCATCACCACCACCGCCTCTTGAGCCAGACTCAAAGGGAGGGAGAAAGCTGAGGAGGGTGGGGGTGGACAGGCTGGGACAGGTGGAGGGTGAGGAGCATAAAGGGGAAGCTGAGGGCAGGAGGCCCAACCCCTACCCTCTCCAAGCTCAGGCCCTATGTAGGCCACTTGCTGGAAGGAAAGAAGGTGGGGGGAGGGGCAGAAGAGGGAGGGAAAGGAGACCTCACAAGGAATCCCCAGCCAGCTGATGGTGGAGAGAGGGAGCTGAGGCAGCTGTTTGTGGGTTAGGAGGGAGGAAGGATAAGGGAGAGGTCTGCATGGCTTTGGGGAGCAGGGCCTGCCCCTGCTACTCACCACCACTTCAGCTTTTTCCCAGATCTTGGGGTACGCTGACCTCTACTCTGGAGACATGCACCCCTACTGACTCCACTCATCCTTTCAGCTTTGCCACCCACTGCCTCTGCTTCCCACCACCACCCTTGGGTACAGACTCTAACCTGGTCCCTACCTAGGAGCCCATACCTGCCCCAGATAAGCTCTATGCCCAATACACACACTTGACCAGGACCCACTTGGGCACATACTCCTGCCACTAGAACATCAGGCCCCCTCTCTCCATCATCAGCTGGCAGGGGATTCCTTGTGAGGTCTCCTCCTGGCCCCCACCTTACACCATGGGCCCAGGGAGTAAGAGAGCAATTACTGGCTCTGCAGAGGGTCCTGGACAGGAGTGTGCAGAAACAGGGCAGGGGCCCTAGATGGGGGTATGCAGAGACAGGGCAGGGAGTTCTGGACGGGCGTGTGCAGAAACAGGTCAGGAAGTTCTGGACAGGGGTGTGCAGAGACAGGGCAGGGGGTCCTGGACAGGAGTGTGCAGAGACAAGGCAGGGAGTTCTGGACAGGGGTGTGCAGAGACAGGGCAGGGGGTTCTGGACGGGCGTGTGCAGAAACAGGGCAGGGAGTTCTGGATGGGGGTGTGCAGAGACAGGGCAGGGGGTCCTGGATGGGGGTGTGCAGAGACAGGGCACCGGCATGGATATCCACTCACAACCACACCCTGTGCTGGAAGAAAGCTGTGGGAGGGTGTGGGGAGATGCCTGGTGGATAGAGTAGGCGCCTATCAGAGTGAGGGAGGCAAGAGGAAGCCAGATTATGGGAGGTCATGGCTTTGATGGTCAAGACAGGACCTGGAAAGTTCCCCCGACTCCAACTTTCACCCCTCCCCCCATTTCTTATGGCCACAGGGTCCGTGCTAGAGGCTCCAAGCTACTGAAGACAGAGCTGGATGGGGCCCAGTAAGGCAAAAATACCGGGGACAGACAGGTCTCCAGGTTCCCAACATCCGCCCTGCCCCTCATGGGCTGGCACCCCCATGTCCCACCCCAAGCCCATGGCCTCAGTGGCTCAGGGCTGCTGCTCCCCGAATAGGCCTACCCCAGGCTGGGTCACCCACTGCTCTGGGGCCACAGCTGACCACCAAAGATTCCCAACTGGGACTCTAAGAGGTCAGCCAGGGCCAGATGGGCTGCAAGCAAATGCTCTATAAAAAGGGAACCAGTGATTAAGTGCCCAGGCAGGGGGCTGTAGCACTGACAGCAATCTCTCCCTCGGGGGTGAGTCACAGGAAGGGGAACTGGGCCTCAGCCCACCAGGCCATCCTAGGCAGCAGAGCTGATTAGACACTGCACAGGGGTCAGGCCCTGTGGGTGGGGGTGGCAGGTGCTCAGAGAACCAAACATGGGTGTGCCCACAGTGCAGACAGCACAGACGTGCAGCACCTGAGTCAGGGGCTGGGCAGGAGCCATCCTAATTGGCACCTGCTGTGAACTAGGGGCCAGGGGCTCCACAGATGAAAGGGCCAGAGAGACAGCCTAGGCATGGGCGGGGCTGGCCTATGAAAAGAGGCAAGATGGGACCATCCTGGGGGGTCAGTGCAGAGTTGGGTTCTGCCTGTCTACACCTCTGAGTCACAGGACTGCTAACCCCCAACATCCAGGCTCTGTCTGGCTAGGGGCCACTGTGAAAAGAGGGCCTGGTGGGCCTGTTCGCAGGTGGGCCCAGAGAGGGGGTGGCATTGGCCTGAGGACATAGCATGTCAGGGACCCATTCTGGTCTCTGGGTGCTGGATCTTGAGGCCTCACTCCAGTCTGGGTAGCAGTACCAATGTGGAGATGGTCTCAGCTCTACAGAGGTGAGGTAGCAGGACAGTGCTCACCTAAGGGGCATGCCCACCATCCCTTCCAGCATGGCTCCAGGGTGGAGAGAGGCAGAACTCCCCAGAAAAGGCCCAGGAGAGGGCACCCAGGCCCCTAGAGCCACAGGACAGGCCCTATGGGGTGTGGGAAGTGCCTGTGTGAGTGAAGAGGGGAAACCTTCAACTCTCCCTACCTCAGTTTCCCTCCAGTGCTAGAGGAAGTGGGATGAGGGGGTGTTTCCCAGGGCCTCTTGGCTCCTGCCTTTTGTGGATGTGGAATGCTCTATCTGGAGCCACTGCTAGAGCCTAGCTGGCTACCCTCTCACCTGCTAAGATCCATCTGCATGTCCCCGTGAACCCCTTGCCCAACCCCCAGCCTGCCCCTAACCCCCACTCAAAGGGAGGGCAGAGCTGGGCAGCCTGGGGCCTCTGAAGATACTTCTCCCGGGAGTTTATAGCCATCCTGCCCGCCCTGGGAGGGAGGAAATGGTCCTGGTGGGCCTGTTCGCAGGTAGTTGAGACAGGAGAGGAATAACCATATTAAAGGCCCCGGAGGTGGTAGGCCCCCCCCCTGCCCCAGGGCGCCCTTGGCCCCGCCCCTGCAAATCTCACACTCCCCAAGCAAGGGCTTTGAAGTCCTGCAGGGATGTGGCCCTCCTCCTCTGGCCTCCACTTTCTTGGTCTGGAGCCTCAGTTTCCTTCCTTCAGGGACTTGCTGAGCATCTCCCACCTTCTCCCTAGGGCTGGGAACCTATGGCAGCAGGACCCTCCCCCCAGGCTCTACCCCAGCTGTTGAAGTCCCCTGCCCCCCAAAGCAGAGCCAGAGGGTGGGTGGGTGTCAAGACCCTGCTGGACTGAACTTTGCCCCTAAGGCCCTGAGGTCTGGTTTGGGGGACCCGGCCCTTTCGGGAGTCAGGGGGACACAGCCTTACCTTGGGTTCTGGTCTGAGAAACATGGCCCCTCCTGGGTATCTGGCCTATGGCCTGGGGTGGCCATACTCCCTTGGCTCTCCCCTACAGTGGACTCCCCGGCCCAGACACCGCAGCCTTCCCGTCTGCCATCCATTTCCTTGTTGGAACCCCTTTTCCTTCATGAAACCCTCTGATTGAGATGCCCAAAGGCAGGGCATTCTGAGGTCTTGACCTGGCAATCAGCAGCTTCCTCTCCAGAGCCCCTTGGCCTCCAGGTCGGAACAGAAACTAGACACCTGACGCGCCCACACTGCCCTCCAGCCTTGCATAGTTCAGTGCTGCCTAGAGTCCAGCCTGAATGATGCATGGCCTCCTAGAGCGACATCTAAGGCTCTCAGGGGAACAGGATGGCATCTCTCCCATACACTGGCTGGGGGCACTGCCAGCCTTCCTGTTCATAGGTATCGACCAGTACACTGAAGCCTGCTGGGAAAGGCTACTCTCTGGGGTATGAGTTCATGAAGGTGAGCCCCCCCCCCCCCCCCCCCCCCCCCCCCCCCGTTTCCTCCCTTCCTATTCCATCATAAAGTGGGTCAACAGGGAATAGCTAGCAGATGACACCTCCACCCACCTCACCCTCATTCCACCAAGTGACCTTAATCCTAGAGAGTTGGACAATGGCCCCTTTGCCACCTACTGGGTCAGGGGTTTCAAGGAGAGGTGAGCATGGGGCATTGTTGCTCTGGTTCCAACATCCTCAGTCCAAGCCGCTAGGCCTCCTGTACTTTTGAGGACCAGGTAGGGTGCCCAGGGCACTATGGTAGCCCCAGGGAGGGCTGTAGCCTGGGAGCCCCATTGCCCAGCCTGGCAACTGGGACAGTAGCTAGTCAGAAGGTGTTAATTAATATTTAGCTATAGGCTGGCTCCTTTCTTCTCTCTCTCTCTCTCTCTCTCTCTCTCTCTCTCTCTCTCTCTCTCTTTTTATTTGAGTCCTTGGAGCGCACAGTAAACAGTCATTTGGCTCTTGGGACCTGCAAATTGGTGTTTATGGTGTGAGGACCAAGACTCGTCCACCCAGACATGGCTGGCTGGGAGGGCAGCACCCTCCCACTCACGAAGGCCCAGTTCTGTAGGGGATCCTCCCCCACTCTGAAGGAGGAAGTCGACCTACTCCCTGCAGCCCAGTCTGAGGTGAGGGACCAACTGGTTGACTGGAATGGCATTGGCCAGAATCCTGCTGGCCAGGTGCTTGTGTGGTTGCAGGTGGCACTGCAGTTAATCCAGAGGGCTTCTAGGAAGAGGTGAGGCTTCCAAGGCAGGAAGGTCTCTCTAAAGGAAGCTCAGAAAGCTCACCAGAGCCCTTGCCTCCCTCCCAGGGGGGTTCTGCATCCAACCACAGCTCCTATCACTTCCCTCAACAGGCTCCAAGTCCTTTCCCCACCCCAGCAGCCATCTGCAGAACTGAAGACAGGAATACAGGAAGGCGAATGGTGGAATTCCAGGCACAGGCAGTCAGCAGTGGGGAGAAGGGGACTTCCCCACCTGCCTGCCCCTTCTTGACAGCAGCTGGTGGGAAGGCAGGCAGGTCCGTGCAGAACTCCCAGTAGCCCCTCAGCTCCCTCTGCTGCCTACAGTCCGCTGGGTTCATCCTCCCTACCTCACCTAGCACAGCACAGCCTGCCAGCTCACAGCACCCAGAGGGGCAAGGCTGGGAGCCCAGGGCAAGCTGTTTGGAAGGAGCCCTGTAGATCACACATGCTTCTTCCCACACATGTTTTCAGCATCCGGGTCTGAGCCAGAACCTCCAGGACTGAGGTCATGTCTTGCATAGAGGAGCCAGCCCCTCCTCTGCTTCCATGGCTCCCCAGTGCCCACAGATGGGGTTGGAGTGCCTCAGCCTGTGCCCCTTGCACTCTGGTCCTACTCTGGGCTGAAGGGGGGCCTCTATGGTTAGATGGAGAAACTGACCCTCACCAGGGCATGACTTGCCCAAGGGCACTCAGCAACTTCACATCACAACTTTCAGTCCCATCTGCAGTTCACTCTTGCCTTCCTTCACCCTCCCTCCATCCCGCCAACCACAGCCTTCTCACCACCACATTGCCATAATCCTCAGTGTCTCCCGAATCACTGTTTGCTGGGGACTCTGGAAAGCCAGTGCCAGCCATGCCTCAGGGGCCCACACAGGGCACCAGGCCTCCAGAAGAGAAGCTGTATGTATGTGCATGGGGGGAGATGGGGCCCTGCTGCCACGCCCCCTACTTGGTTCATCTGCAGGGGCCAATTCTCTCCCCACCTCCAGACTCACCCCTAACAGA